CAGTCATCTGCTGATGGGCACTTAGGCTGTTTCCAAATCTTAGCAATGGTGAACTGTGCTGCTGTGAACATAGGGGTGCCTATGTCCTTTCTGATTGGTGTTTCTAGTTGCTTGGATATATTCCTAGAAGTGGGATCACGGGGTCAAATGGCCGTTCCATTCTTAATGTTTTGAGGAAACTCCATACTACGGCCTCGCCAGCACTTGTCGTCATTGACTTGTTGGTGACAGCCACTCTGACAGGTGTGAGGTGGTTCCGCATTGTCGTTTTAATGAGGATACGTTCCCATGGAGTCTCCACAGGGGTATAAGGGTGGAGGGAGGGGGCGAGAGAGAGAGAGAGAGAGAGAGAGAGAGGGAGGGAGAGAGACATCGGCTGGTTGCCCAGGCGGGCGGCGGCCTCTCGGTCTCCCTGGCTCCTCAGCCGCAGGCTGTGGCCCCTGTGCGCCCATGGGATCCACCAGGACCTCAGCCGGAGCTCCCGGGCACCTGGAAAGGCGAGACGGGGTCAGGGGTCAGCCCGGGCGCCCCCACCAGAGGATAGGGGCCCGCAGACCCCACACTCAGGGGGCCCGGCCGCCTCTACTCTCAGCTCTGCCTTCACGGCTGGCTCCGCGGGCCTCGCTGCCTCAGTTTCCCCATGTGGATTGGGCCCTCCAGAGTCTAAGGCACGTGCGGCTCAGGCCCCCGGCCGAGTTGGGCTGACGCTCGGGCAGCGAGGGCCTCACTGGCGCTGGAGTGGGTCCCGCACCTCCCCTCCGGGGCCGGCCTGGCCTGGGCGCCACTCACCAGGCTCTCCCTTCTGTAAGGGCGTCCGGTGGAGACGTGTCCTGGGGAGACAGGCGGCGGGTTGTCACAGAGGTGCCGGGAGGTTTCTCTGAGCTGAGGTCAATCCGGAAGCGATCACCCCCCCTCCGCCCACACCCCCCCACAGGTCAGGAAGCTGCAGGAAGGGCCACTGTGCCTCGCCCCTGCTTTCTGCTTCCAGAACCTTCCAGGAGCCCGAGCCCAGCGCCCCTGGCTCTGCCCCTCAGACCTGCCCACAGCCTGGCCTCGGCGCTGGCACCCATCCTGGCGCAGGAGGGACCCCAATCCAGCCAGGCCCTCAGCCCAGGAGCCGGCCAGCAGAGGCCCACACGTCCTCCCCCCGGCGCCCGGGCCTGCCCCGTCCCGCCCGTCCGAGGCCCAGCCCAATCTCACCTGCAGGGAGACAGCAGCGGCCTCCTCCGTCCTCCGGCTTCCAGGCGTAGAGAAGGACGAGGGCCCCGAGCACCGAGGAGAACAGCCAGCCCGCGGCCCACATGTGCCGGTGCCTGCTCTCCGCCCCTGGGGGGGCAGACACGCCTCAGCGGCACTCCCGCGGCAGCCGGGACCCAGGCCCGGCCCCGCGCTGCCCGGAGGCGCCCGGAGGACGCGAGCACCGGCTGACGGGGCCGGGGCACCGCGGCCCTGTGCTCGCCGGCCGAGGAGGTATAGAGAAGCTACGTGTAGCACAGGCGTGCACACACGGGCACCTGCACACGCACCACACGTGTATGCACACACGCATGCACACGGGAGCATCAGTCACCCTTAACAAGAAGGCCTCCTGCCATTGCTAAGAGCGGGACTGGGCGGAGGTGCTGCTGAGGGATGAGTAGCCGGGGGACAGACTCGGGGCTCTCGTTCCCAGGACGTGGGCCCTAAAAGGAAGCGAACGCCGAGAAAAGGAGGACAAACGAGCGAACGGCATCTGCACGCGCTGGCCCAGCGGCCGTTCAGCCTGCGAGCCTTCCGGGGGCTGCACCCCCAGGGCAGGTGCGCTGACCGCCCCCCCCCCCCCCCCCCCGGAGCCCTGTGTCCGCCTCAGGGGCTCCCGGGGTCTCCCGGCCACGGGGGAGCTGCAGGAAGTGGTCTCTGATGCCCCCTGCAGGTCGTCCTGGGGCAGGCTGTGTCCCCGGGGACCAACAGGACCCAAATCTGACGTTTTCCTCTGCAAAAAGTGGACGTTTTATTAACTTCATAAAGGGACTGGGAGAGACAGACAGAATCATCAGTGACCGGAGGGAATCACCGCCGGCTGCCTCCTGCACGGCCCCCACGGGGATCCACCCCCCGCTAAGGCCTGTGTCCTGGCGGGGAATCGAACCCTGACCTCCGGGGCCACAGGTCGATGCTCAGAGCCACGGAAGTTAGCCGTGGCCCAGCAGGGTGGTCCGCGGGGGCCTGTGAACCAGGTCACGGTTCCACTCCTGGTTCGGGCGCGATCCCCAGTGTGGGGCGAGCAGGAGGCAGCTGGTCCGGGATTCTCTCCATCACTGATGCCTCTCTCTCCCCCTCTCCCTTCCTCTCCGAAATCCATAAAAATACATTTAAATAAATAAAACGGTGAGTTTTCTGAACGTCCAGGTCACGCAGACGGGAGCCCCTTACCTGGGTCGGCCGGGCCGCACTGGGTGTCCGCCGTGGCGTTGCAGGCCTGTAGGACCACCTTCCCCGCAGGGCACCTGGGAGGGAGACACCACTGTTCCCCCGCCACCTCTGCCCGGGCCGGGCGCTGTCCCAGCAGCCGGAGGGCCCCAGAGCCCGCCTCTCAGAGCTCATGGCCCACATCCCATGGGAGGGGGGGCGGCGCAGGGGGAGCTTAGAGGTCCCTCCCGGGGAAGCTGCTCGGCCTTGTCTGCAGGCCTGGGAGGGGGAGGGACCTGGGAGGGGAGGGGCCTGGGAGGGGAGGGGCCTGGAAGTGGAGGGGCCTGAGAGAGGGAGGGACCTGGGAGGAGAGGGGCCTTGGAGGGGGAGGGGCCTGGGAGGGGAGGGGTCTGAGAGAGGGAGGGGCCTGGGAGGGGGAGAGGCCTGGGAGGGGAGGGGCCTGGGAGGGGGAGGAGTCTGGGAGGGGAGGGGCCTGGGAGGGGAGGAGTCGGGTCTGGGAGGGAGAGGGGCCTGAGAGGGGGAGGGGCCTGAGAGGGGGAGGGGCCTGAGAGGGGAGGGGCCTGGAAGGGGAGGGGCCTGGGAGGGGGAGAGGCCTGGAAGGGGAGGGTCCTGGGAGGGGGAGAGGCCTGGGAGGGGGAGAGGCCTGGGAGGGGAGGGGCCTGGGAGGGGGAGGGGCCTGGGAGGGGAGGGGCCTGGGAGGGGGAGAGGCCTGGAAGGGGAGAGGCCTGGAAGGGGAGGGTCCTGGGTGGGGGAGAGGCCTGGGAGGGGGAGAGGCCTGGGAGGGGAGAGTCCTGGGTGGGGGAGAGGCCTGGGAGGGGAGGGTCCTGGGAGGGGGAGAGGCCTGGGAGGGGAGGGGCCTGGGAGGGGGAGAGGCCTGGGAGGGGGAGAGGCCTGGGAGGGGAGGGGCCTGGGACGGGGAGGGGCCTGGGACGAGGAGGGGCTCGGCCATCGGGAGTCCTTCCTCGTGGCCACCAAACCAGGGCCTGTCATTCCTGTCGCATGTTCTGAAGTCAGGGGAGGCGTGTTCAGACCCAGGACCAGCCCTCACTTGCGAAGGCCTCAGGTGCTCACAGCTCTCTGCACAGCTGAGGGGGCCCCGGGGACCTCTGAGCCCAGCCCCACGCCTTCCCCTGTGCGGGGCTCCCCACCTGCTCCAAGTGCGGGGCGCACTCTGAGACCCCGAACCCCGGGGAGCCGGCCGGCAGGGCTCAGGGCTGAGCACCGATTCGGGACCCAGGGGCTCACGGTGCAGTTCCCACTCGGGGCACAGCCGGGTTGCGGGTTCCATCCCCAGTGGGGGGCGGGGGGTGGAGGGGTGCGGGTGCAGGAGGCAACTGGCCCATGATTCTCTCTCATCATTGACGTTTCTCTCTCCCTCTCCCTCCCTCTATGACATCAATTAAACCCATTTATTTTAAAAAGGGAGCCATTCTGCTAGGGGCTTTCCCGCTGTCACGTCTCCCCAGCAGGCCCTTCCCCTGCCCGGAGCTGCCCCTCCGAACCGTCCATGGCTCCCACCTGCCTCCCTCCTGGGCCTCTGCTCCCCCACAGCCCCGCCCTCCCCGCGGGGCCCCTGAGCTTTGGCCTCTGTGCCCGGCTCCCCGGGGGCTTTGGGGGGAGCGGCGGTGGCCCCGGGGGTGGACGGGGGACACAGCCAGGCCAGGGGTCGGCAGGTCTGCCAGGCCCGGGCGGGCCGGTACCTGGTGCAGCGGTAGCAGGTCTCCGGGCAGCGCCCCGAGGCGCAGTAGAACTCCCCGGGCTTGCACTGGCACTGCCGGTCCCGTGTCGGGGTGCAGTCACGCACCATCTCCTGATCTGCGGGCGGGGAAGGCGGCTCAGGCACCGGGGCTGGTCTCCGTGGGGGACGCTGTGTCGCTTTACCCGCCTTCCCTGCCAGTGGACACGGCGCACACGGCCGGCTGACACACGGAGAGCGGCCCGGTCCGCGGAGGCGGGCGGCGGGCGGCGGGCGGGGGTGGCGTGGGCCCGTGGGAACGCCACCCACTGCACCGTGTTTCTCCCCGTGCGCCCCGATCCCCGTCTCCCGTCGGGCAGGAGTCCCCGCCGCCTCCCCCACGGCGGCCCCGGCTCTGGGATGTGAGAGGCCACCTCTCCACTCCTCAGACCCTCTCTTTCTCTCTTAATTACATGTTTACCGATTTCATTCATTCTCTCATTCATCCATCCACTCACTTATTTGTCTAGTTATTTGGTTAATCACCACTCCAGGTATTTTTCCCATTGATTTTTCTTTTTTGAATTATTCTCAAGTTTAGACCTTTGGAAAACGCTTCTTTTTATTTTTAATTAAAAAATATATATATTCCTGCCCTGGCTGGTTTGGCTCGGTGGACAGAGCGTCAGCCTGCGGACTGAAAGGTCTAGGTTTGATTCCTGGTAAAGGGCGCATGCCCAGGGTTGCGGGCTTGATCCCCTGTGTGGGGTGTGCAGGAGGCAGCTGATTGATGTTTTTAACTCTATCTCTCTCCCTTCCTCTCGGTGGAAAATCAATAAAAATGTATATTAAAATAAAAGTTAAAATAAAAAAGGGGCTTCGGGGTCAAGGTCAAGACTCGGGGGCCGGGACTCACCCTGGCGGCAGGTGGTGCACAGCAGGCAGGACCGCAGGCCGTTGGCGTGTCCCGTGTACGTCCCCGCGTCACACGCCACACACTCGCTCCGGGTGTGGGGGCTGCTGCATGGCTCCTCCACGTAGTAACCTGAGCAAGAGGGCGGCGCGGTCAGACCCGCCAGGCAGCGGCGCCCCCTGTGAGCCTCCACGCCCGGCCTCTCGGTGAGAAGACAAATCCCGTCCCTGGCGTTTGCATTCGAGTGGTCTCTGCGCGTTTCCAGGTCGTGGAAACGACGAAGCACTGCTCCCCGGCAGCTGTGTGTGGGGCGCCAGGGACCCGCCCCCACCCAGGACACCCCTCTGAGGCCCCAGGCACAGCCCGGCGTCCTGGCCGCCAGGGGCCCCGGGGCCCGGCCGGGAAGGCCACCTCCTCCCTGCCACCCTCAGAGCCACCGCTAGCCGGGCACTCGCAAGGGGCCAGCGGGCAGAGCCCGCCCGGCTCACCCGGGGGGCAGCGCTGGCAGCAGTGCCGGGCAGACGGGTACTCGCCAGGCCCGCACCGGCTGCCGGGGCTCGGCTCAGACGGCAGGTTGCTCCAGGTGCTCAGGGTCAGCTGCAAAGAGGAGACCCCGTTACACCGCGTCCTCGCCCCCACCCCCCACCCCGTCCCTCCCGGTCACCCCTGCGGGGCCAGAGCACGCCGCCCACGCGGAGCACCGCCCGGGAGCCGGCACGCGTGTGCGGGCTCTGCACGCCGCGGCCTCGGGAAACGGGCCGGGCTCCGTGCTGGCGGCCCAGGAGCCGGGGTCACACGTGCACGGGCTCCACAGGCGGGGCCTCGGCCTTCCCGTCCCACCTTCCCGGGGGAGCGCGTCCCCGTGTGTCCCCGCGTGTGCCCGCGTGTCCCCACGTGCAGGTTTCACATGTGAGAAGGATTTAGCAACAACAGCAGCAGCAGCAGCAGAGGCATGACCTGGGGTGGCCACGCCCAGAAGCTGGCCAGTGGCCGTGCCTCCGGCAGCAGCTCTCAGGAGCAGGCGGGGTGCCCGGGGGTTGGGGGGCCTGACCCGGGAGAAGCAGGAGCAGGCTGAACCCCTCAGCGGGTCTGAGCCCCGGCCACCCACTCCGGACAGAGCAGCTGGGGTTGGGGCGGCTGACAGGTTGGGGGGCAGGGCAGCGACGGTGATGTGACTGCTTGGTTGAGGGCCACACGCGTGTGACTCTGCTCGATTGCAGGAGAGAAAGCGGGGGGTTGGGGACGGTGCCCACCGGCCCTGGGACCCGAGCAGCAGCCTGGCAGAAGGACGGGCATTCCCACAGCCAGCTGGCCCAGTCCCGATCCGGACGGGGAGGGGGCCCTGTCAGCCCAGTCGCTGGAGGGGCCCACCGTGCATGAACCTGTGCGCCGGGCCTCCAGGAAAAAGTAAAAATAGAGACGCCATCACCACGGCCTCTCCCAGCCGCGCGGCCCAGGGGGTGGGGACGTGTCTGGGTGCTAGTGATCTGGATCTGTCCGGGGCCTGCCTCTGTTGCCCAATCTTGTGAGCCGATGATTAACTCCGTTTGAGGAGGACGAGGACACCGGCGGCCGGACCTTGCACCCTCGTGTGGGCATTCCTGCAGTCCTGCCCCTCGCAGTGGCCCGGTCTTGGGAAAGCTATTTACCTAAGGGCATCCAGCTGCCGGCCCAAGCCAAGGACGGAACAGCCTGGCTGGAGGGAGGTCCCCAGGGCCCTCCAGGGTGGAAGAAGATACCATCTAAGCTAACCATGGAACTGATTCTGGGGATGAGGGGGGCTGTGAGAGTCCGCTACAGAGGCCGGTAGTTAGGAAACTCAGGAATCTATGCTAATAAAAGGGTAATATGCAAATTGGTCAGGACGCCCTCACAGTAACGCCCTCACAGCAGGCTGTGTGGGGTGATCAGGCCTGCGGGGGGGTGGGGGGGCAGTGAGGGGCGACCAGGCTGGCAGGGGGGACAGTGAGGGACAACCAGATCGGCAGAGGGTGGGCAGTGAGGGGTGACCAGATCAGCAGAGGGGGAACAGTGAGGGGCAACCAGGCCAGCAGGGGGGACAGTTGGGGGTGACCAAGCTGGCAGGGGGGGGGGGAGAGAAAGGGGGGCAGTTAGGAGCCAGCGGCCCAGGATTGTGAGTGGGATGTCCACCTGCTAGTTCAGGCCCGATCTGGTCTAAACCAGTAGTCGGACGTCCCCTGAGGGGTCCCCGACTAGAAGGTGCAGGCTGGGCTGAGGGGGGACCCCCTGCACGAATTTCATGCACCAGGCCTCTCTCTGGTATATACACTGAATGGCCAGATTATGATGATCTCTGAATGGATAACAATCTGGCCACTCAGAGTGTGTGTGTGTGTGTGTGTGTGTGTGTGTGTGCGTAGATATAGGCCCGGTGCATGAATCCGTGCATGGGTGGGGTCCGGCCAGCCTGGCCAGGGGAGAGGGGACATGGCAGTTGGCCAGCCTGCCTGCTGGTCGAACTCCTGGTCGCGGGGACCATATGCATATGAGCCTTTTATTCTATAGGACGGACACGGAGCGGCCGGACGATGATGCGTTCAGCGACATCTCGTTGCCGGAGGGGTTCGGGATCTGGATCTTAGGGTGCCCTGAGCCAGCAGCGCTGCTTTTCCGGAAACCTCCGCCTGTCCCCTGCCTCTCCCGTGCCAGGCCCCTAAACTCCACATTCCACAGCAGGTGGGAGGAAGTCCGGCCTGGCCGAGTCCTCCCCGCCGTCCAGCCTCCCAGCCCGGGGTCCCCATCCAGCCACCGGAGAGCCGGGGCAGGGGCCGCCACGGGGACCGCCTGCCCATGCTCACCCTCAGCCTCCCACACGCCCCGCGCCGAGCCCGGGATCCCAGACTCTGGAGCTCAGACTCCGTCCTGCCCCCCCGCCCCCTCCCGGCTGGTGGGTCTACCTCCCCCAGCCCCGCCGAGCGCCCACCGGAGAGCCCAGGAGGAGGAGCGGTGGAGGCGGCAGCAGCAGGAGCAGCAGGGACAGAACCATAGACCTCCAGGCCATGTCTCTCCTCTGAGCCAGGTGCTTCCTGCTCCCCCGACTTTTAAACGGTGACTCCAAACCCCCCCCCCCGCCCCCACTTCCCACCCAGGTCCAGCACCGCCTTTTCCAGGAAGTCAGCTAACCTGAGCTCCCTACCTCCCGGCGGCCTCTGGACTGCCCCTGCTGTAACCGCAAGGGGGTTGAGGGAAATCTCAGATCAGACGCCCGCCCTCCCCGCCTCACACGTCTGCCCTTAGTCACCAGCTCTGGAGGCTGCTGGGCTCCCAGCCCATTTGTCACTCTCCGTACCTTCCCTGCCCCCTGCTGCCCAGCGCCCCGCCCGCTCCGGCCCCCTGTGTCTTCAGGGCCGGGCCTCCCTGGCCCGCCGGCCCTGGACAGCGCCCGCCGGCGCGGAGTCCGCCCCCCGGGACCCCTCGTTCCCAGAACCCCCAAGAAGACACCACGCGAGGTGTGAGTTCCTTTATTTCAAGGAATGGGGCACAGGCGTGTCTCTGAAGTGGGGAGGTGGGGCGCAACAAGAATGTGGATACAAAACCTGAAAATCGAGGCCATCTGTTCAGGGCGAGGCCATCAGGCTAAGGCTCCGTGACCCCACCTGGGCCGGTGCCCACACATGCACACACACTCCCACACGCACACGCACACGCACACGCACACACAGCCCCGGACACAGGGCTGAGGCCAGACGCTGCCTGAAACACCGCAGCTGTGTCTCTTTGAGCAGTGTAGGGCCCTGGCCGGGGCGGCTCACGGACAGAGCGTCGGCCCTCGGACGAAAGGTCCCGGGTTCGATTCCGGGCAGGGGCTGCATCCCCAGCCCTGGGCGGGCGCGTGCGGGAGGTGACCAGTCGATGGGGCCCTCACACATCCATGCTTCTCTCGGTCTCACCCCGCCCTCCCACGCTCCCTGAACATCCTGGAAAAACGTGTGAGGATTAACAACAGCAAAAAGTGCAGCGTGGGAGCACAGGCATCCGCCAGCCCCGTGTCCCCGTGTCCCCGGGTCCCGTGTCCCCGTGTCCCGGGTCCCGTGTCCCCGGGTCCTGTGTCCCCGTGTTCCGCGTCCCCGTGTCCCGTGTCCCGCGTCCCCGGGTCCCGTGTCCCCGTGTCCCGGGTCCCGTGTCCCCGGGTCCTGTGTCCCCGTGTTCCGCGTCCCCGTGTCCCGCGTCCCCGGGTCCCGTGTCCCTGGGTCCCGGGTCCCGTGTCCCCGGGTCCCGTGTCCCCGAGTCCCGCGTCCCCGTGTGGGCAGCTGAGCCGCACCCGGGGTCCCGTGTCCCCACCCGCCTGCAGGACCGGCTGCCCAAGCAGCCCACGGGCAGAGCAAACCCCATGGCGGAGTCGGGGGCCCCCGGGGGCCCCGAGGTGACGGGCAGGGCCTCCGGAGGGACAGCCTGGGCTTCAGGCCGAGGCGGCTCCTCCCCCCTGCAGCCCCGCGGAGGGACCGTCCACCCCCGGCGGCCCCCACGCCCCCACGCCCGCCCGCGGCAGGTGGACGCTGCCCCGGGAGCGAGCGGTGGGGCCAGGAGCGGGCACTGGGTGGGGGGGGGGGCAGGAGCAGCCAGGCCGGTGCTGGGCTGCCCGGCCGAGCGGCGCCCGGTGGCCGCCAGGTCCCTGCGGCCGTCCTGCTCCGGAGCCTGCTTGCGGGGCCCAGCGGGCAGGCGCCGTCCTCTGGCTCCGATGTGAAGTGCTGGGTGGCGGGCGGGCGGCGGCCTGCAGGGGGCGCCGCGGCCTTACGTGAGGACGTGGCCCAGGAGCAGCTGGCAGGCCAGCAGCACGCACAGCAGCCCCCAGGCGCGCGGGCTCTGCAGGAGGCCCGGGGCCGCCGCCCGCCGCGCCCTGGCGGAGGCGCTGAGCATGGCCACGAGGTGCCTGCAGGGCGGGGGGGAGGGGGCGGGGGTCAGCCAGGCCGCTGGAGGGCGCCCCCCTCAGGGCGGGCACCCAGGCAGCGCTCGGGGGACGGGGTCCGCGCCAGGGAGCTGGACGCCCCCCGACCCCGTGGCCTCGGACGGGGCCCCCTTAGGAGACTAAGGTCAGAGGAGGTCACTGCCCGGGCCCCGTCCGAGGGGACTGTCCGCACAGCGAGGCCAGGACCCCCAGAGGGGCAGGGCGGGCACGGGGCCCAGGAGAGGATGGTGTGAGCCGTGTGTGCGGGACCCGGGTTACGTGATCCGGGACAGGTGACGCCGGCTGACCCGGAGCCTCCGGCGGGCGGACTGGCCAGCTCCCGGCGTCCCCGGGCCCGTCCCCCGAGGGCCAGGAGCCAGGCGTCCTGTGCCCCGGCCGCCCAGCCCGGCGGGTTCCAGCCCCCGCGCGCCCCCGCCCGCCCTCGGGGCCGCCGCTCCGACCTGTGCAGCTCCTGCTGGGCGTCCCGGATAGACAGCACAGCCTCCTGCAGCGCCTGCAGCCGCCCCGCCTCCTTCCGGCACCGCGGGCACGGGCTCTCTGGGGCCGACGCGGGGGACAGCAGGAGGGCAGGAGGTGAGCTGGGATGTCAGGGCCAGCGAGGGGCCCCGGGGGTGCCAGGGCGAGCCCCTGCCCGCCTCACGGGAGTCCTCAGCTCAGAGCTAACGGGACGGGGGGGGGGGGCAGGGAGAGGCCTGAGGGAGCTTCAGGGGCTCAGGCTCAGCTGCCCCAGGAGACAGAAAGGCTGGGGGGCTCACCACGGCGGAGGCGGGACCACACTGGGAGCCACAGCAGGGGGACCAGAGGGCCACAGGCCTAGGGCCCCCAGCCCCTGCCCCTGCCCCCGCCCCCCGTTAGCTATGGGCTCAGGGCTAGGGAGCCTGCCGCCTGCCCACTCCCTCGTCTGGCCTGGGCTCAGGGAGGCCCTGAGGCCGTGGAGGGGTTGTCCTGGGCACCAGCCCCTCAGAGGGGCCTGCACCCCGCAGAGGGCCCCCCCAGAGGGCCCCCCCAGAGGGCCTCCCCCCATAGGCCTCCCCGCAGAGCCCCCCCGCAGAGGGCCCCCCCGCAGAGGCCCCCCCATAGGCCCCCCCATAGGCCCCCCCGCAGAGGCCCCCCCGCAGAGGCCCCCCCCGCAGAGGGCCCCCCCGCAGAGGGCCCCCCATAGGCCCCCCCATAGGCCCCCCCTACAGAGCCCCCCCCATAGGCCCCCCCGCAGAGCCCCCCCATAGGCCCCCCCGCAGAGGCCCCCCCATAGGCCCCCCCAGAGGGCCTCCCCCCATAGGCCTCCCCGAAGAGGCCCCCCCTGCAGAGCCCCCCCTGCAGAGCCCCCCTGCAGAGGCCCTCCCCCCCGCAGAGCCCCCCATAGGCTCCCCCCGCAGAGGCCCTCCCCCCCCGCAGAGGCCCTCCCCCCCGCAGAGGCCCTCCCCCCGCAGAGCCCCCCATAGGCCCCCCATAGGCCCCCCCCTGCAGAGCCCCCCCATAGGCCCCCCCATAGGCTCCCCCCGCAGAGGCCCTCCCCCCCCGCAGAGGCCCCCCATAGGCTCCCCCCGCAGAGGGCCCCCATAGGCCCCCCCGCAGAGGCCCCCCCATAGGCCCCCCCCCGCAGAGGCCCCCCCCGCAGAGGGCCCCCCGCAGAGGGCCCCCCGCAGAGGCCCCGCTCACCGGGGGCGACGTGCCCGTCCTCGTCGGAGAGCTCGGGGCAGGACTCGGGCGTGGAGCTGCTCTCGGTGGCCCGGCTGCGGCCGGAGGGCTGGTCGCTGGCCTTGCGGAGCCGCCGGTCGGGGCCCGGCCTCTGGGGGGGACGGAGGCGCTGGGCCGGGGGCGCCCCACACCCACCGCACCCCACGGGGCCGCAGCGCCGGGCGGGCCGGCCCCCGTGGCCGTGGCCGGAGGCCACGCCGGAAGCTCAGCCGCGGCACCTCCCTCCTCCCTCCTCCCCTCAGGCCCGGCCGCTGTGCACTCGCCGCCGGCCGCGCCGGCCAGCCCCGGCCTCAGTCTCCCCCCCGGGGAGTGGGCCCAGGGCTGGGACTGAGTGTCCAGGAGCCTGGGCCTGGCAGCAGGGGCACTTGGGGGGTGGGTGTGGGGAGACAGGGCAGGGCAGAGAGGAGGCCGGGCGCTGGGCAGCCTGACTGTCCCCTCGCTGCGGAGGACGCCCCAGCAGGGCCCTGGGTGCTGACCTGGTGCCTGGGCTCTGGGCTGCCCCCCCGACGGGCCTGGGGGGGCCGGCTGTCCCGCTGCAGGGTGCACAGCGCCCCGTCCTGCTCGTACTGGGCCACGTCCTTCCGGGGGTCCCAGGGGCGGAGGCTGCAGGCCAGAGGGAGCCGTGGGCGGGGGCAGTGCCCTCAGCAGAGCCCCCAGCCCGGCCGCCCCGACCGAGAGCCCAGCCGCCGCCGGGCGGGGGCGGCACACAGGTCAGCGGAGCCCCATACGGCCCCCCTCCTCGCTCCGGGGGCGGGGGGGCGGGAGCCCCCGGGCCCGCAGGCCGGCCCCCCTCCTCGCTCCGGAGGGAGATGGGGGGCGGGAGCCCCCGGGCCTGCAGGCCGGGGCCGGGCTGGGGGGCCGTGCCCGTCGGCCCCTCCTCGCTCCGGGGGCGGGGGGGCGGGAGCCCCCGGGCCCGCAGGCCGGGGCCGGGCTGGGGGGCCGTGCCCGTCGGCCCCTCCTCGCTCCGGGGGCGGGGGGGCGGGAGCCCCCGGGCCCGCAGGCCGGGGCCGGGCTGGGGGGCCGTGCCCGTCGGCCCCTCCTCGCTCCGGAGGGGGATGGGGGGGCAGGAGCCCCCGGGGCCCGCAGGCCAGCCCCCCCGGCGCACTCACTCGGCGAAGCGGTAGCACCACTGCTGGGCGGCGGGGTCCAGCCGGAAGAGCCGGGGCGCCCAGGGCCCCGGGCGCTGCTGCTGCTCCCGGGCCCGCTGCCGCTGCGCCTCCTCCAGAGCCAGCTTCTCCCGCGTGGCCGCCTGCTGGTCGCCCGCCCGGATGGCGCTGGTGACACCCCGCCACAGCCTGGGGGGAGGGGGGCGCTGAGCGGGGCCTGGGCGCCGTGCCCCCCCAGCCCGCCCGGTGACACCCCGCCACAGCCTGGGGGGGAGGGGGCGCTGAGCGGGGCCCGGGCGCCGTGCCCCCCCAGCCCGCCCGGATGGCGCTGGTGACACCCTGCCACAGCCTGCGGGGGGGGGGGCGCTGAGCGGGGCCTGGGCGCCGTGCCCCCCCAGCCCGCCCGGTGACACCCCGCCACAGCCTGGGGGGGAGGGGGCGCTGAGCGGGGCCTGGGCGCCGTGCCCCCCCAGCCCGCCCGGTGACACCCCGCCACAGCCTGGGGGGAGGGGGTGCTGAGCGGGGCCTGGGCGCCGTGCCCCCTCCCCTGGGGTGGGCGGGAGACTAATGGCGCGGGGTCTCCGGGACCCTTTTTATAAAAATAAGCCCCATTTTATTTATTTTTTAAAAATATATATTTCACTGATTTTTTACAGAGAGGAAGGGAGAGGGACAGATAGCTAGAAACATGGACAAGAGAGAAACATCAGTCAGCTGCCTCCTGCACACCTACTGGGCAAGTGCCCACAACCAAGTACATGCCCTTGACCAGAATCGAACCCGGGACCTTTCAGTCCGCAGGCCGACGCCCTATTCACTGAGCCACACCGGTTTCGGCAATAAGCCCCATTTTAAAAATTAGATTCAACCCAGCTGGGATGGCTCAGGGGCTGAGCATCAACCTATGAACCAGGAGGTCACCTTTGGATTCCAGTCAGGCACAGGCCCGGGGTGGCAGCACATCCCAGTAGGGGGCGTGCAGGAGGCAGCTGATCCATGATGCTCTCTCATCATGGATGTCTCTTTCTCCCTTTCTCTCTGAAATAAATAAAAACATATTTTAAAAAATATATAAACTTGGCGCAGCCGGCCGGGCTCAGCGGATGAGCGTCAACCTAGGAACCAGGGGTCAGCGGGTCGGACCCTCCAAGGACGCGGTGACCTTGGGGCCCTGGCCCAGCGCAGGCTCCGGATCCGGCCCCCCGCTGCCCCCGCTGCCCCCGGCGCCCCTCCGCCACCTCGCAGGTCCTCGCTCGGGAGACAGACACTGCGGTTCAGAGGGTGGGACCCGGAGGCCGTGCGGGCTCCCAGCAGGAAGCGGGGGCCCCTCCAGGAGACAGGGGTCTCACCCTCCCTCCCTGCGGGCCTGACGCCCAGACCGCTCTTCCCCGCTGCCCTCCCGGCAGGACAGCTCCCCACTCGATCGCCCATGGGGTCAGCAGGCCGGGGGTCAGGGGCCAGGGGTCGGCGGGGTCGCGGGGGTCGGGGTCGGGGTCGGCGGGGTCGCGGGGGTTGGGGGCCGGGGTCAGCTAGGTCATGGGGGTCAGGGGCGGGGTCGGGGGGGGCGGGGTCGCGGGGGTCGGCGGGGTCGCGGGGGTCGGGGCCGGGGTCGGCGGGGTCGGCGGGGGTCGGCGGGGTCGGCGGGGGTCGGCGGGGTCGCGGGGGGCGGGGGCGGGCCGGGGCCGGGGCGGGGTCACGGAGGCGGGGCGGGGGTCGGAGGGGTCGCGGGGGGCAGGGCGGGGCGGGGCGGGGCCGGGCCGGGGCCGGGCCGGGGCGGGGCGGGCTCACCTCTCGGACTCCAGCTCCGCCTGCTCCGCGGGCAGCACGGTGCGCAGCCTCAGCCTCTGCGCGCGGACCTCGGGGCTCGGGCTCCAGAAGAGCTGGGGGCCCCCGCGGGGCTCCTCCCGGATGAACACCTCCCCGTCCTGGGGGCGGGAGGGCTCAGCGGGCAGGCCCTCCGGAGCCCCCCATTCCCCATCCCCCCAGCTCAGCGGGCAGGCCCTCCGGAGCCCCCCATTCCCTGTCCCCGTCCACCCCCCCCCCCGGCTCAGCGGGCAGGCCCTCCGGAGCCCCCCATTCCCCGTCCCCGTCCACCCCCCCCCCCCCGGCTCAGCGGGCAGGCCCTCCGGAGCCTCCCATTCCCCGTCCCCGTCCACCCCCCCAGCTCAGCGGGCAGGCCCTCCGGAGCCCCCCATTCCCCGTCCCCGTCCACCCCCCCAGCTCAGCGGGCAGGCCCTCCGGAGCCCCCCATTCCCCGTCCCCGTCCACCCCCTCGGCTCAGCGGCAGGCCCTCCGGAGCCCCCCATTCCCTGTCCCCCCACCGGCCGGCCCGCCCCCGGCGGCCGCTCACCCAGCGCCCCCACAGCTGCGCCAGCTCCTCGTCCCCCGCCACGATCCTGCCCGACACCTGGTTGATGCTTGTGCTGCCCCCGAAGAACGGCTGGGGACACGGGTCCGTGAGGGCGGCCCCCCCAGACCCCGGAGGGCGGCCCCCCCAGACCCCCTCCTGGGGACACGGAGTGGGCGCCCCCCGGGGACCAGCTCTGCCAGTGGGTGCCCAGGAGCCCAGCTGGACGGGACCCAGCTAGAGGTGGCCACTCGCCAGGCCTCTGCCTGAGCTCAGGGTGGAGGGGGGGGGGGGCTCCCCAGGAGGGCCTGTGGGCAGGGCCTCCCCTCGGGGCGGCTGCTCCCCGGTGTGCTTGCTCAGGAAACCAGCTCTGGGCACAGAGGGCGGAGGGTCCCCCAGCCCGTCCGGGGCGGAGGTGGGGGGGTGACGCCCGAGCTACCTTGAGCTTGAACTCCAGCTCGGCCTGGAAGTTGCTCTTCTTGCACTCGATGGTCACCCGGCCGCCCAGCTCCATGGTCATGGTGCCGTACAGGAGCCCTGCAAGCAGGCGGTCAGCGGTCAGCGGTCAGCGCGGCCCAGCCCCGCCACGCGGCCAGGCGGGAGGACAGGAGGGCGGGAGGAAATGAGCCCTGTCCCAGCCGGCGGGCACCTGATGGAGACACGCGGCTCTGCTCTGGAACGCTGAGACGGGGCCACCCCGTGCCCTTCAGGGGGATACGAACCAGGGACCCCAATAGCAGCGGCGGAAAGAGGGTCCCTGCGCCCGCCTGGGGGTGCGGGCCGGGGCGGCCCAGACTCCGTGGACGAGCAGCACCCCGGGTTCCTAGTTCTGAGAGGCCTGGTGGCCGTGCCCACGCGGGAACTGTGCACGGACAGAATTCCCACGAAACGAAGCGAGAACGCCATCCCTAGGAGCCAGGGCCACACCGACCGGAGGCTCAAAGCAGCCACTGCCTTGGGGACACCCCATAACCGCACACGCCAGACGGATGCCTGAGGAGCAGGGACACCCCGAGATCCGGCCACGGCTGTCCCCCCTGCAGGCCCCGCCACTCCGACGGCGTAAGACTAAGAGGAACGGCTGCGAGGTGGTCACCAAAGAAACATTTCCGGCCCAGCCGGTGTGGCTCAGTGGATAGAACGTCGGCCTGCGGACTCAGGGGTCCCAGGTTCGGTTCCGGTCAAGGGCATGTACGTTGGTTGCGGGCACATCCCCAGTGGGGGTGTCCAGGAGACAGCTGGTCGATGTTTTTCTCTCTCATCGATGTTTCTAGCTCTCTATCCCTCTCCCTTCCTCTCTGTAAAAAAAATCAATTAAAAAAAAATATATATATATATACTGATTTCAGAGCAGAAGGGCGAGGGAAAGACAGGAACATCAATGAATGATGGCAGAGAATCGCGGATCAGCTGCCTCCTGCACGGCCCCCGCTGGGGGTGGAGCCCGAAACCCGGGCCTGTGCCCTGACCGGGAATCGAACCGTGACCTCCCGGTTCCTAGGCCAAAGCTCACCCCCTGAGCCACGCCAGCCGGGCAAAGCATTTGACTTTAAAGGTCACCGTCACCAGGTGCACCCCCTCCCCTCCCTGATGGTGACTGAGGTGCATCCTGGCCATTCACACAGCAGCCCCTCGGTCTCTCAGACGCCCCCCCCCCCCCCACCCATCAGAGCCCTCTGCCCGCAGAGCCGTGCGAACGAGGGGGGCCAGGCAGGAGGAGACGCTGGTCCAGGAGTCAGAGGGGCCGCAGACATCTCCGTCATGTGCAGGCCCGGAACCGCACAGCGGGCCCAGCTCCGGGCATCGAGCAAACCGTCCGCACCAGAGGCCCCTCGCCCAGCCGGCGGTCCCCACGCCTCCCCTCCAGGCGGCCACACCACCGGGACGCCCTGCAGAGCCCAGGCCACGGCCACACCACCGCCTCGCTCCCGCCCGGCTCCTTCCTGCCCGCCTGCCTAACCGTCCACAGCTAACAGGACGACGGACACAGGGAAGGGACCATCAGGGAGGGGAGGGGGTGCACCTGGTGACGGTGACCTTTAAAGTCAAATGCTTTGCCCGGCTGGCGTGGCTCAGGGGGTGAGCTTTGGCCTAGGAACCGGGAGGTCACGGTTCGATTCCCGGTCAGGGCACAGGCCCGGGTTTCGGGCTCCACCCCCAGCGGGGGCCGTGCAGGAGGCAGCTGATCCGCGATTCTCTGCCATCATTCATTGATGTTCCTGTCTTTCCCTCGCCCTTCTGCTCTGAAATCAGTATATATATATATATATTTTTTTAATTGATTTTTTTTACAGAGAGGAAGGGAGAGGGATAGAGAGCTAGAAACATCGATGAGAGAGAAAAACATCGACCAGCTGTCTCCTGGACACCCCCACTGGGGATGTGCCCTCCTGGGCGCCCCATCTGCCCCAGGTGAGCCCCGGCCTGCGGGCTCTGAGGTTACTCCTACTAGGTGCAGGGTCCCTCCCTCCTTCCGAGCTGAAATGCCGCCGAGATCGCCCCCTGCCTCCGCCCACTCCCCCCCCCCCCCGCCTGTGTCCGCAGAGCGCCCCCTGCCGGGGTCTTCTTGGGGACGGTCTGGGCTGTTTGGCTCGGGGTCTGGAGGGAGAGCCACACCACAGAGCTGAGCTTCTCTGCCTTTTTGGTCTGAGATAACCTCCCTGTGAAATGTCAGGCTAACTTGTAGCTTTCCCTTCTCCGACCCCTCAGGGCACAGCCGAGCGCCCTGGGCGCCAGGACCGAGACCACAGGTCCCTTCCCTGTGTCCGTCGTCCTGTTAGCTGTGGACGGTTAACTGTCCCGCACCCACCTCATAGAAGAAGCATGTGTCCATCCTTTACTTTTTATCCAATCCAGAGGTGCCCCCGGGCTTTCTCCCGCCTCCCTAACCTCTCACCAGCGGGCTTCATGGAACCCGCCTACATGCACCCCCCCCTTTTTTTAATTTTTAAAAATATATTTTACTGATTTTTTACAGAGAGGAAGGGAGAGGGAGAGCGAGCTAGAAACATCGATGAGAGAGAAACATCGACCAGCTGCCTCCTGCACACCCCCCACTGGGGATGTGCCTGCCACCAAGGTACATGCCCTTGACGGGAATCGAACCTGGGACCCTTCATTCCGCAGGCCGACGCTCTGTCCACTGAGCCAAACTGGTTCCGGCTGCATGCCTTCTTTGATGTCATGTATGAAATGAGGTGGACCGTTATCCCAACCCCTTACGGCTCTGCTCCCCAGCGACTGCGGGCAGTCTGCCTCAAGCACACTCACAGTCCTTCCCAGGGTGAACGTCTCCACGTTCACGCCGCCCCGCGATGAGAGGACGGAGCGGGAGGACGGACCGAGGAGAGTGTCCTGTTCCCTCTGGCCCCACAGTGCGCGAGGAGCGCCTGGCGGGCACACCCAAGGCCGGGCCCTCCCCCCGAACCGGCCGGGCAGGCCGGCCTCACCTCTGCAGTGGGCGTAGGGCATGGTGAGGGTGTAGTCCTCCGCCCGGCCCAGGAAGGTGAGTGTGGCCTGGCCGTCCAGCAGGGCCGACAGCGAGTTCCCTGCGGAGACGGGCGGTGAGCGGAGGGGCCCCGAGGCCGGCCCCACCCCATTCCCACAGCACGTGTGGCCCGTGGCCCGCGCCCAGCCTCGTCCTGGGACCTCAGGCGCCCGGGGGTTGGGGGGGGCGCCTCGATCAGGCTCTGAGGACTGTCCCGCCCGGGGCCCCGCGTCTGAGTGGTGGGAGGGAGGCACGGGCGTGTCCGGTCTGGACCCCGGAACCTGGAGCTCACCCCCCCCCCCCCCCGCTGCCCGGGGGCCTCACCGTAGAACCGGGACTTGGCCGTGACGCTGCCGCTGACGCAGAAGCCATCCTTGCGGTTGCTGACGTGGAAGGCGGACACGGGCGGGTGGTGGGACACCTGTGGGCACAGCACTGGCTCCCGGGACAGCCCCACGGCCGGCAGCGCCTGCCCTGCCCGGCCACCCCGGCCATCCTCATCCACCCCTCTGTCCATTTCCGGCCCCCCCGGCCCCCCCGACAACCCCCCTGCCCGGCCCCCCCGGCCATCCTCATCCACCCCTCTGTCCATTTCCGGCCATCCTCCCCCCCCCCACAACCCCCCTGCCCGGCCACCCCGGCCATCCTCATCTACCCCTCTGTCCATTTCTGGCCCCCCCGGCCACCCCCCAACAACCTCCCTCCCCGGTCACCCTCCCCCCCCCCAGCAACCCCCCAGCCACCCCCCCAGCCACCCCCCGGCCACCCCCGGCCACCCCCCTCCCCGGCCACCCTCCCCCCCCACCGGCAAACCCCCTCCCCAGCCACCCTCCCCCCCCAGCCACCCCCCAGCCCCCCCCCCAGCCACCCCCTGGCCACCCCGACCACCCCCCCAAACATGCCCCGGCCACCCCCAGCCACCCCCCGACAACCCCCCTTGCCGGCAACCCCCCTCCCCAGCCACCCTCCCCCCCCCCCCCCCCCGCCACCCCCACGCCTGCGCCAGGCCAGAGTCTGGGCCCGGATGCTCAGGGGCGTGGGGTGTGGAGAGGAGGCCCAGTGGGCGGAGCGGCCCGGAGGCGTGCCCCCCAGGCGCCCTGCCTGCTCAGCGATGTAGAAGGTGAGGCTGTGGGTCTGAGGGTGGAACCAGCTGCAGCGGAAGGTCTCCCCAAGGACCGGGTTGTAGGGCTTCTTGATTCCCTGCGGAGGGGGGGGCGCGGGGCGTGAGGGGGCACTGGGTGGGGGGGGGGCGGGGCGTGAGGGGGCACTGGGCGGGAGGGGCGCGGGGCGTGAGGGGGCACTGGGCGGGGGGGGCGCGGGGCGTGCGGGGGCACTGGGCGGGGGGGGGGGCGCGCGGGCCCAGGGCAGGCGGGGCGCCCGCAGACATGGCCTCGGGGCGCACAGCTGGCCGCGGGCACCGGGAGCCGGCCCTCCTGTTGGGGGCCCTGCTTCGCCCCGGCGTCTCCGCCTCTGGTTCCCAGGGGACCCGAGACCCCGACCCGTCACCTCCCAGGACTCTGGGCAGAAGCAGGGTCTCCGAGGCCGGACCCCGGGTGACCAGGACCCTCCATGGCCGCGGGGGGCGGGCGGGGGGCCTCACCTTGGGCTTCTGGTAGAAGCCGGACAGGTACCAGCGCAGCACCTGCTTGAAGCGGCCGTAGGCGTCCTCCTCCAGCGCCGCCCTGGACGGACAGATGGACGGACAGACAGACAGGCGGATGGATGGCGAGCTCCACACTCCCTGCCCGATGCTCCCGCCCCCGCCCGCTCCCTCTGTGTATCCAGCAGCAGGCACTCAGCTCAGGGGCCGCGCCGAGAGGGGGTTCGGGTACACAGAGGTACGGGGCGCCCACCCTGCCCACCCTGCGGGCAGGGGCAGTGGGAGGAGGCCAGGCGCCCCGGGACCCTGCAGACCCCTGGGTGGGTGGCCGGGCGGGAGGGCATAGTGGGCGGGCCAGGCCGTGGGGGCCCTCACCGGGACAGCAGGTCCGCGTGGGCGCAGTGGGGGCGGGCAGTGGGGGGCGGGCAGTGGGGGCGGGCAGTGGGGGCCGGGCAGTGGGGGGGGCAGTGGGGGGCCGGGCAGTGGGGGCCGGGCAGTGGGGGGGTGGGCAGTGGGGGGCTGTGGGGGCAGTGGGGGGCGTGGGCGCCCTCACCGGGACAGCAGGTCCGCGTGGGCGCAGTGGGGGGGGCAGTGGGGGCCGTGGGGGCAGTGGGGGGCGTGGGGGCCCTCACCGGGACAGCAGGTCTGCGTGGGTGCAGTGGGGAGCAGTGGGGGGCAGTGGGGGGGCCGTGGGGGCCGTGGGAGCCCTCACCGGGACAGCAGGTCCGCATGGGCGCAGTGGGGGGCGGGCAGTGGGGGGCGGGCAGTGGGGGGCGGGCAGTGGGGGCCGTGGGGGCAGTGGGGGCAGTGGGGGGCGTGGGGGCCCTCACCGGGACAGCAGGTCTGCGTGGGCGCAGTGGGGGGGGCAGTGGGGGCCGTGGGGGCCGTGGGGGGCTGAGGGGGCCCTCACCGGGACAGCAGGTCCGCGTGGGCGCAGTGGGGGGGCAGTGGGGGCCGTGGGGGGCGTGGGGGCCCTCACCGGGACAGCAGGTCCGCGTGGGCGCAGTGGTCGGACAGCTTGCAGAGGAAGGAGCGGGGCTCCAGCACGAAGGTGGGCAGTGCCACGTGGGCCAGGTCCATGCCCGGCCGCAGCTGCCTCAGCAGCAGCCACACCAGCCCCCGGTGCTCCTCCGGCTCCGGCTGCTCCTGGGCCGCGGCGCCCGGCTGCCGGAGGGGGCGTCAGGGCGGCCGGGGGACCCTCTCCCGCTGTCGCCGCCCAGGCCCAGCCCCTCACACTGCTGCCTCCCTCCCTGCCCACTGGCTGCCCCAGCGCAGCCCACCTGGCCCCCCACATCCTCAGCCTGAGCTCGGGGCCCTCGCCAGCTCCCGGCCCCCCAGACCCCCGTCCCTGCTCCCGGCCCCTCAGACCCCCGTCCCTGCTCCCGGCCCCCCAGACCCCCGTCCCTGCTCCCGGCCCCCCAGACCCCCGTCCCTGCTCCCGGCCCCTCAGACCCCCGTCCCTGCTCCTGGCCCCCCAGACCCCCGTCCCTGCTCCCGGCCCCCCAGACCCCCCGTCCCTGCTCCCGGCCCCGGGGCCCTGCCTCTCCTCAGGGACCCCGGGCGGCCTGGGGCGGGGGGGACGGGTGGGGTGACGGGTGGGGGGACGGGTGGGGTGATGGGTGGGGGGAGGGGTGGGGTGATGGGTGGGGAGACGGGTGGGGTGACCGGTAGGAGGACGGGTGGGGGGACGGGTGGGGGGACGGGTGGGGGGTGGGGGGACGGGTGGAGTGACGGGTGGGGGGACGGGTGGGGGGACGGGTGGGGGGACGGGTGGGGTGACGGGTGGGAGGTGGGGGGGCGGGTGGGGTGACGGGTGGGGTGACGGGTGGGGGGTCGCGGTGGGGGACGGGTGGGGGGACGGGTGGGGGGACGGGTGGGGTGACGGGGGGGTGACGGGTGGGGTGACGGGGGGTGACGGGGGGGTGACGGGGGGGACGGGGAGGGACGGGGGGGAGGGGGGGGATGCGGTGGGGGACGGGGGGGGAAAGGTGGGGCGTCGTGGTGGGGGGACGGGGGGGGGACGGGGGGACGGGGGGGGAGGGGACGGGTGGGGGGACGGGGGGGCTCGGGGCAGCTCTCACCTCCCCCAGCTCCTCGTGGGGCTGCTCCACGTAGGTGGTCCCTCGAGGGCCGGGGGCGCCCGGGGCCTGGGACAGGTCACTGCGGCTCCTCTGGCTGAGGTCCGGGGCCTCGGGCTCCGAGTCCTCGCCCGCCTCCCGCTCCGACCGGTCCGAGAAGGCGTCGTTCTCCAGGGCCGACCCGTTCAGCCTGCGGCAGCCCACCCGGGCACCTTACCCCCGGCTCCCCACCCGGCACCCCACCCGGCACCCCCACCCGGACACCCCACCCCAGGCACCCCACCCGGCACCCCACCCCGGGCACCCCACCCAGGCACCCCACCCGGGCACCTTACCCCCGGCACCCCTATCCCAGGCACCTTACCCCCGGCTCCCCACACTGGTACCCCACCCGGGCACCTTACCCCCAGCACCCCACCCGGGCACCTTACCCCCGGCTCCCCACACTGGCACCCCACCCGGCACCCCTATCCCAGGCACCTTACCCCAGGCACCCCACCCAGGCACCTTACCCCTGGCACCCCCACCTGGCACCCCATCCTGGCACCCCCACCCAGCACCCCACCCAGGCACCTTACCCCTGGCACCCCCACCTGGCACCCCATCCTGGCACCCCCACCCAGCACCCCACCCAGGCACCTTACCCCCGGCACCCCACACTGGCACCCCACACTGGCACCTGTATCCCAGGCACCTTACCTCCAGCACCCCACCCTGGGCACCCCACCCGGACACCTTACCCCCGGCTCCCCACCCGGCACCCCATCCGGCACCCCCACCCGGACACCCCACCCCAGGCACCCCACCCGGGCACCTTACCCCCGGCACCCCACACTGGCACCTTACCCCCAGCACCCCACCCGGGCACCTTACCCCCGGCACCCCACACTGGTACCCCACCCGGCACCCCACCCAGGCACCCCACCCAGGCACCCCACCCGGCACCCCACACTGGTACCCCACCCAGGCACCTTACCCCCGGCACCCCACACTGGTACCCCACCCGGCACCCCACCCAGGCACCCCACCCGGCACCCCACACTGGCACCCCTATCCCAGGCACCTTACCCCCGGCACCCCACACTGGTACCCCACCCAGGCACCTTACCCCCAGCACCCCACCCAGGCACCTTACCCCCAGCACCCCACCCGGGCACCTTACCCCCGGCACCCCACACTGGCACCCCTATCCCAGGCACCCCACACTGGTACCCCACCCAGGCACCTTACCCCCGGCACCCCACACTGGCACCCCACCCGGCACCCCTATCCCAGGCACCTTACCCCTGGCACCCCCACCTGGCACCCCATCCTGGCACCCCCACCCAGCACCCCACCCAGGCACCTTACCCCCGGCACCCCACACTGGCACCCCACCCGGCACCCCTATCCCAGGCACCTTACCCCTGGCACCCCCACCTGGCACCCCATCCTGGCACCCCCACCCAGCACCCCACCCAGGCACCTTACCCCCGGCACCCCACACTGGCACCCCACACTGGCACCTGTATCCCAGGCACCTTACCTCCAGCACCCCACCCCGGACACCCCACCCAGACACCCCACCCCGGGCACCCCACCCGGCACCCCCACCCGGGCACCCCACCCCGGGCACCCCACCCGGCACCCCCACCCGGACACCCCACCCGGACACCCCACCCCGGACACCCCACCCGGACACCCCACCCCGGGCACCCCCACCCCGGGCACCCCCACCCGGACACCCCACCCGGACACCCCACCCGGCACCCCCACCTCAGGAACTCCCCACCGGGCGCCCCTCGCTGGGTTTACTTTCTAATGTAAGTTAATTCCAGAGGAAGGAGAGGGAGAGAGCGGCGGCTGGGCCCTGACCCCTGACCCCTGGCTCCGGGGGCGCCCAGGCTGAGCCGGCCGGCACTGGGGCACCGGGCTCCCGTCCCCTCCAGCGGGAGCCTGCCCAGCGCGCCCGAGGCCCTGCCCCCACCCAGGCGTGTGGGTCCGGGGACTCGGGCTGGCCACGCCGCGCCCACTCACGGGAGCAGGTCCGGGTGGTGGGTGGCGGCCGAGGGCGGCAGCCCGCAGAGCGAGGAGGGCGACCCGTCGGGCGAGGACCCGGGCTCCTGGTCGCTGCCCGGCCGGCTGAGCCGCAGGAGGCTGGAGCAGCGCAGGGCCAGCTCCAGGGCGTCCAGCCAGCAGCGGCCTGGGGGCGGGGGGGACCGGGTGTGAGCCCCGCAGCCGCTCCCCACCCCCTCCTCACCGGCGTCCTGCCCCGGAGCCCTGCCCATCCACCCGCTGCCCCGCCCGGCCCAGGGGGCCACCCCCACCCCAGTCCCCGTCCCCCCAACCTCCCCCACCCCAGTCCCCATCCCCCCAATCTCCCCCACCCCCCAACAGGTCGCGGGAGTCACGGGGGTCGCGGGGGTCATGGGGGTCGCGGGGGTCATGGGGGTCGCGGGGGTCATGGGGGTCGTGGGGGTCATGCAGGGTCATGGGGGTCATGGGGGTCACGGGGTCGCGGGGTCGCGGGGTCGCGGGGACCTGCCGAGCAGGCGGACTCACCGTCGGACTCGGAGGCGGCCCTGAAGATCAGGTAGCTGCTGGGCAGGGGCTGTGTGATGGAGCCCACGCTCTCGCCTCTGGGGCCCTGGGAGGGCACAGACCAGGTCACCCGACAGCCCGGGCGGCGAAGCACGCGGCCGGTCACCGGCCTCTCGCACACGGGCCTCCCCGGCCTCGGGGTCCCTGGGGGCCGCCCCGAGGTGCTGGCTCTGAGCTCCCGACGCCCGGCCCGGCTACACCGGGACCTCAGCGGCAGGGGGCACCCGTGTTGTGTGGGTTGGGGTGCATCCTCGCTGGAGGGTACTTTCCCCATCGGTTTTAGAGAGCGGGGAGGGGGAGGGGAGCAGAGGAAAGAGAAACTCCGATGGGAGAGCATCGACTGCTGCCTCCCGCACGCCCCCGGAGCCGGAACCGAGGGCGTGCCCTTGCCCGGATCCAAGCCTCGGCCCTCCGTCTGCGGGTCGGCGCTCCGGCCACTGAGCGAGCTGGCCAGGGTGACAGCTACCTCCTTTAAAAGCGCCATTGGGACACGCTCGTCCTGAAAGAGCCCGCGTCTGTCCGAACCCTGTAACTGGCTCCCCGGCGAGCTCTGGCCCTGAGCCCAGAGTCCCTGGGGCGGGGGCGGGGCTGGGAGCCGCCCGCCGTGGCCACGCCTCCGCCTCCAGGCACCTGTGGCCGTGACCTGTGGCCACTAGGCCTGAGCCCCACGGGCCCGCCACCCCCAGAGCAGGACCACAGCTGACACCACTGAGACGTACCCCAGCCACCCCGAACCCTCCCCGGGGTCCTGGTGCCTCCCGGGCCCGCCCCCCCTCCACCCCGTCCCCCCTCTCCACCCCGTCCCCTCCCTCCACCCCGTCCCCCCGCTCCACCCCGTCCCCCCTCCACCCCGTCCCCTCCCCGGGGTCCTGGTGCCTCCCGGGCCCGCCCCCCCTCCACCCCGTCCCCTCCCTCCACCCCGTCCCCCCCCTCCACCCCGTCCCCCCCCTCCACCCCGTCCCCCCCCTCCACCCCGTCCCCTCCCCAGGGTCCTGGTGCCTCCCTGGCCCGCCCCCAGCCCGCGGGCACCTTCACGGCCCACACGGACTGGTCCAGCGGGTGGAAGAGCTTGAAGCAGAAGCCGTCCTTCTTGGAGGGCCGCTCCAGCAGCCGGCAGCACTGCAGCAGCACCGTGCCCACCCACTGGCCCACGCCCGGCGTCTTGTAGATGAGCAGCGCGCCCGGCTTCAGCACGCACCACAGCTTGGTCCAGCCCTTCAGCGTGCCCCGGACCTGCGGGCGGGCGGGCGGGGTCAGGGCAGGGCACGGGGTCCCCCGGTCTGCGGGCGGGCGGGCTCAGGGCAGGGCACGGGGTCCCCCGGTCTGCGGGCAGGCGGGGTCAGGGCAGGGCACGGGGTCCCCCGGTCTGCGGGCAGGCGGGCTCAGGGCAGAGCACGGGGACCGTCTGGGGCGGGCGGGGTCAGGGCAGGGTACGGGGACCGTCTGGGGCAGGCGGGGTCAGGGCAGAGCACGGGGGCCCCCGTCTGGGGCGGGCGGGGTCAGGCCAGGGCACAGGGGCCCCCGTCTGGGGCGGGCGGGGTCATGGCAGGGCACGGGGCCCCCGTCTGGGGCGGGCGGGGTCAGGCCAGGGCACGGGGCCCCCGTCTGGGGCGGGAGGGGTCATGGCAGGGCACGGGGCCCCCGTCTGGGGCGGGTGGGCTCAGGCCAGGGCACTGGGCCCCCGTCTGGGGCGGGCGGGCTCAGGGCAGGGCACGGGGTCCCCCGGTCTGTGGGCAGGCGGGGTCAGGGCAGAGCACGGGGACCGTCTGGGGTGGGCGGGGTCAGGGCAGAGCACGGGGCCCCCGTCTGGGGCGGGCGGGGTCAGGGCAGGGCACAGGGACCGTCTGGGGCGGGCGGGGTCAGGGCAGGGCACGGGGACCGTCTGGGGCGGGCGGGGTCAGGGCAGGGCACGGGGCCCCCGTCTGGGGCGGGCGGGGGCAGGCCAGGGCACGGGGCCCCCGGTCTGCGGGCAGGCGGGGTCAGGGCAGGGCACGGGGTCCCCGTCTGGGGCAGGCGGGGTCAGGGCAGGGCACGGGGACCGTCTGGGGCGGGCGGGCTCAGGGCAGGGCACGGGGTCCCCCGATCTGTGGGCGGGCGGGCTCAGGGCAGGGCACGGGGTCCCCCGATCTGTGGGCAGGCGGGCTCAGGGCAGGGCACGGGGACCGTCTGGGGCAGGCGGGGTCAGGGCAGGGCACGGGGACCGTCTGGGGCAGGCGGGGTCAGGGCAGGGCACGGGGCCCCCGTCTGGGGCGGGCGGGCTCAGGGCCTGGGAGGCAGGGGCCCAGCATCGGGCGGCTCAGAGGCGGGCAGAGCAGGTGGGGCTCCGGCTGCAGGCAGAGGCCTTTACTTTTCCTCTTTTAGGTGTAGTTTTTATGGATGTCAGAGCGGAAGGGAGAGGGAGTTAGAAACATCCATCAGCTGCCTCCTGCAGGCCCCACACTGGGACTGAGCCCGCACCCCAGGCCTGTGCCTCCTGGTTCATAGGTCGATGCTCAGCCGCTGAGCCACGCGGCCGGCGGTTGGAGACTCGGTATTGGCCATTTTTCCTCTCGTGGTAAACATGGCTCCCATTTGTGCCAACACAGAGAAGGCCAAGGCGGCCCTCTGGCCCATGACCAGCCCCGTCTGGCTGACTCTCCTCTCCCCCGCACCCCGGGCCTGTGCCCTGGCCGGATGACCCCTGACCTCCTGGTTCACAGGTCGACGTGGACGGGACCGCCAGGCCCGCCTACCTTCAGGCTGTCGGCCATGATGACCACGCGGGGGTCGGTCAGGGCGCTGAGCAGCTGCTTGGTGGCGCGCTTCTTCTCCTGCCGGTAGTTCTCCTTCTGCACCTGCTCAGCCCGCCAGCAGTCAGGGCACGGCGGGCCTGCCCCCGGCTCCCGACTCCCGGCCCCCGGCCCCCAGCTCCCGGCCCCCAGCTCCTGGCCCCCGCCCCCGGCCCCTGGCTCCCAGCCCCCGACTCCCGGCCCCCGGCCCCCAGCCCCAACTCCCGGCCCCCGGCCCCCAGCCCCCGGCCCCCAGCTCCCGGCCCCCAGCTCTTGGCCCCCGGCGCCCACAGAGCCCACACCGTTCGCCCGGAGCAGGGACAGGGATGGGGGGGGTGGAGGTGGCGGCCGGGTCTGCCCCCTCTGGCAGGTGGGCATGGCCTCACGCCCAGGTGCCCATTCACCCACAAAGGGCACACCTGCCTCCCCCTGCACCCACCTTAAGAGTCTCCTTCCTGGCGGCCTTGGCTGTGGGGGACACACACTCCCGGTCGGACCCGTTGCACAGCCGGCACTCCGCCTGCAAGACCGGGAGGGGCGGGAGCAGGCATCGGCGGGCTGGGCAGAGGGCGGCAGGGGACCCTGACACGCACCCCTACAGACAGACCGGGAGGGGCGGGAGCAGGCATCGGCGGGCTGGGCAGAGGGCAGCAGGCGGTCCCCGTGGCGGGCCCTCTAATGGGGTCCCCGTGATGGGCTCTCCAATGGGGTCCCCGTGATGGGCTCTCCAATGGGGTCCCCGTGATGGGCTCTCCAATGGGGTCCCCGTGGCCGGGCTCTCCAATGGGGTCCCCGTGGCCGGGCCCTCCAATGGGGTCCCCGTGGCCGGGCCCTCTAATGGGGTCCCCGTGGCCGGGCCCTCCAATGGGGTCCCCGTGGCCGGGCCCTCTAATGGGTCCCCGTGGCGGGTGGGAACTCACCGGTGGCAGCTTCCAGGCAGAGCCGGGTGTCGGGGGCCGCTCCTCCCGGGTCAGCGAGGGGCCGTTGTGCTCCCCGTCCGTCCCTGGGGGGGAGCCCGTGGGGGAGCCGCGCAGCGGCAGCCTGGCTGCCCCCGGGGCCGCCGTGGGAGGCAGGCAGCCTGGGGGGGGGGAGCCATGTGAGGTGGTGGCACTGCCTCCTCCCAGCCTGGGCACTCCCAGCTCCCCTCCCCTGCCCGAGAGACAGCTGGCCGGAGGCAGGAGGGGCCCCGGCCTGCACAGCCCTGGCTGAGGCCCCCCAACCAGGCCCCGCAACCAGGCCCCCTGACCAGCCCCCCCGAACCAGGCCCCTAACCAGGCCCCCCCAACCAGGCCCCTGACCAGCCCCCTAACCAGGCCCCCCCAACCAGGCCCCTGACCAGACCCCCTGACCAGACCCCCCGGACCAGGCCCCCTCACCAGCCCCCTGACCAGCCCCCTGACCAGCCCCCCTGGACCAGGCCCCCGGACCAGCCCCCTGACCAGCCCCCTGACCAGCCCCCCCGGACCAGGCCCCCTCACTAGCCCCCTGACCAGCCCCCTGACCAGCCCCCCCGGACCAGGCCCCCTCACTAGCCCCCTGACCAGCCACCCCCCGGGCCAGGCCCCCTCACCAGCCCCCTGACCAGCCCCCTGACCAGCCCCCGGACCAGCCCCCCAAACAGGCCGCTGACCTGGGCTGAGGGGGTCGGGCTCATTCTCGCCGTCGCCGAGGAGCGGGGTGCGGGCCAGCCGCCGGGGCGCGGGCTTCGGGGGGGCGGCGGGCGGGCAGAGCGAGAGGCGGCGCTGCAGGGCGGCCTCCTCCTTCATGGCCCGGGCGCTGGGCGGCCTCTGGAGGGACGGGGGTGGGGGCGGCGTCAGCCGGGGGCGCAGGCCGGAGTCAGGCTGAGGGCCAGGGGTCCCAGGCAGGGGCGTCTCAGAGAGGGGCCTGCAGGTCAGAGCGCAGCGTCGGTCCGGGGCCCCCCCGCCCTGGCTGGCTGCGGACCCTGGCCCCACGACCGCCCTGAGGTGGCAGGGCCGCCCCTGCCAGCACCGCCTGGGGGGAGTGCGATGGGGAACAGCCCTGGCACAGACCCAGAGCGGGGGCGAGCGGCCATGACAGCCTCCTGCCCGCCTGCACCCCGTCCAGCCCGCCCCTTCCTCGGAGGGAAACGCCGGCCGGAGACGGCCCAGGAGCGCCCACAGGTGTGCCCCGCGCCCACTCAGTCAGCTTCCACTCCAGGGCGAGCTCCCTCCCCGCCCAGCAGAGGGAGCCCCCTCCCCGCGCAGCCCGCCTCTCCCCACCGGCTCCCTCACAGCCCAGCCCCCGGGGCGGGAGGGGGTGACATGGACAGTTGAGGGTCCCGTCCCCACCACTCAGCCTGCTTCCTAGACGGGAAAGGCCCGGCTCCGGAGTGAAGGCCTGGCCCTGTGGACGCGCCTGTGGGTGTGGGGAGCGGGGACCCGTCCCCCTGTGGCCTGTCCACTCCGCTGGACGGACGTGCTCCGAGCCATGCCCTGCCCCTGCCGCCTCCCGGCGCTTCCTGCCAGGCCGGGACAATGGCCACTTTCTCCCTGGCCGGCCGGTGGGCGGGTGCAGACAGCCTTCCTGTGACCGCGGGCGGGCGGGCGGCGGGGGGGGGGGGGGGAGGGCTGCGGGAGTGGGCAGGGTGGCACAGGGTGTCCTGTGCCTGGTGGCTCCCTCAGCAGCTCCCAGGCCTCCGCTGTGCCCACTGCCCGGGTCAGAGGGAGGGCTCCAGGCTGCAGCGAGGCCAGGCTGGCCCCAGCCCCGCTCCCTCGTCCGTCCTGCCACCCATCCTGTCGCCTTGGGGGGGACGCATTCCTCAGAGGCTGGGATTTGGGCCCAAAGTCACAGCTAATTGACAGTGCCCACGCCTGAGCCCAGGTGGGCTAATGACACAGCCATGTAACCATCCATCTACCCACCATCCATCTACCCACTACCCATCCATCCATCTACAATATCTACCCACCATCCATCCACTCACCCATCTCTCCATCCATCCATCCATCCATCCATTCACTCACCCATCCATCCACTCAGCCATCCATCCATCCATCTACCCCCCATCCATCCATCCACCACCCATCCATCCATTCACCCATCCATCCATCCATCCATCTACCCACCATCCATCTATCCACTCACCCATCCATTCATCCATCCATCCACCATCCACCCATCCATCCATCCATCTATCCCACATCCATCCATCCACCACCCATCCATCCACTCACCCATCCACCCATCCATCTACCCACCATCCATCCATCCACTCACCCATCCATCCACTCACCCATCCATCCATCCACCATCCATCCATCCATCCATCCACCATCCATCCATTCACCCACCATCCATCTACCCACCATCCATCCATCCACTCACCCATCCATCCACTCACCCATCCATCTATCCACCATCCATCCATCCATCCATCCACCATCCATCCATTCACCCACCATCCATCTACCCACCATCCATCCATCCACTCACCCATTCATCCACTCACCTATCCATCCATCCATCCATCTACCCATCGCTCACCCATTCATCATCCCTCCGCCCACTGGCCTATCCACCTACCCAGCCTCCAGGCACCCACTCATCTCTCTACCCATCCACTCACCTGCCCATAACCCATCTGCCCCCCATCCATTAATCATCCACCCCACCATCCATCTACCCATCCACCCATTCATATACCCATCCACCCATCCATCTATCCATCCTTCCATCCATTTAGTCACCCATCCATCTACCCACCCACCCATCCATCCACCCACCCATCCACCCACCCATTCACTCATCCATCTACCTATCCATCCATCCATCTACCCATTCATCCACCCACCATCCATCTGCCCATCCATCCACCCATCTGCCTATCTTTCATCTACCTATCATCTATCCATCCATCCATCATCCATCTGCTTGTCCATCCATCCATCTGCCCATCTATCTGCCTATCCATCCATCCACCACCCATCCATCTATCCATCTACCCCCCATCCATCCATCCACCATCCATCCATCTGCCTATCTCCCATCTATCCACCATCCATCCATCCATCCATCCATCTGTCCGTCCGTCCGTCCATCCATCCATCATCCATCTGCCTATCTCCCATTTATCCACCATCTCCCCGTCAATCCTCCCCTCCCTTCCTCCTTCTGTGGCTCCTTCTAGCCAGCCCCCAGCACCTGACTTCCCTTCTTCCCACCTCCTTCCATTCACCCGATAATCAGACCCCAATGGCTGACCGAAGGCACGGAAAGACCCAATTCGAATGCGACAAGGTGGGTGAGGTGAAGCCCTCTCCCCAGGGCCCCTCGTGCTGGGAGCACAGGAGCCGCCGTCCCCTGCGATGTCCTGGTTCTCCACCCCCTGCTCCTCCGCCACCTCACACCTCACCGACACCCCTCGGCCCCAGGGCACCTGCCCTGCCCTCCTGACCCCACCCCTGCTCACACCGCCCACCTCACCGGCTCCCCCTCTGCCCAGGGCACCTGCCTGCCCTCCTGACCCCACCCCTGCTCCTCCGCCACCACCCACCTCACCGGCTCCCCCTCTGCCCAGGGCACCTGCCCTGCCCTCCTGACCCCACCCCTGCTCCTCCGCCACCTCACCGGCACCCCCTCCGCCCAGGGCACCTGCCTGCCCTGCTGACCGGCCGGGCTCCTGGAACCCCAGTTTCCACACGGAGCTGAGCACGACTCTTCCCAGGGGCTGTGCTCCTCTCACAGTGGGGACCCCCCCGACCCCGCCCTGGACGCCCACCTTCAGGCCACAATCAGGTCCCTGTGCCCGGGTCAGGGCTGCCAGGCCGTGGGCATCCGCTGCCGCCGGAATTCCCGGGGCCTGGGCTCCGGCTCCTCCGAGAAGGAATGGCATCCCACCGCCCACCTGCAGGCGGGGTCCTGGACCCTCTGACCACACCCTCTGACCACACCCTCTGACCACCCTCCGGCCATGGCGCCCTCAGGGAGCCTCTGACCACACCCTCTGACCACACCCTCTGACCACACCCTCTGACCACCCTCTGACCACCCTCTGACCACACCCTCTGACCACACCCTCTGACCACCCTCTGACCACACCCTCTGACCACCCTCTGACCACACCCTCTGACCACCCTCTGACCACACCCTCTGACCACACCCTCTGACCACCCTCTCTGACCACACCCTCTGACCACCCTCTGACCACACCCTCTGACCACACCCTCTGACCACACCCTCTGACCACCCTCTGACCACACCCTCTGACCACCCTCTGACCACACCCTCTGACCACACCCTCTGACCACACCCTCTGACCACACCCTCTGACCACCCTCCGGCCATGGCGCCCTCAGGGAGCCTCTGACCACACCCTCTGACCACACCCTCTGACCACACCCTCTGACCACACCCTCTGACCACACCCTCTGACCGCACCCTCTGACCACACCCTCTGACCGCACCCTCTGACCACACCCTCTGACCACACCCTCTGACCACCCTCTGACCACACCCTCTGACCACCCTCTGACCACACCCTCTGACCACCCTCTGACCACACCCTCTGACCACACCCTCTGACCACCCTCTGACCACACCCTCTGACCACCCTCTGACCACACCCTCTGACCACACCCTCTGACCACACCCTCTGACCACACCCTCTGACCGCACCCTCTGACCACACCCTCTGACCGCACCCTCTGACCACACCCTCTGACCACACCCTCTGACCACCCTCTGACCACCCTCTGACCACACCCTCTGACCACACCCTCTGACCACCCTCTGACCACACCCTCTGACCACCCTCTGACCACACCCTCTGACCACACCCTCTGACCACCCTCTCTGACCACACCCTCTGACCACCCTCTGACCACACCCTCTGACCACACCCTCTGACCACACCCTCTGACCACACCCTCTGACCACACCCTCTGACCACACCCTCTGACCACACCCTCTGACCACCCTCTGACCACACCCTCTGACCACCCTCTGACCACCCTCTGACCACACCCTCTGACCACACCCTCTGACCACCCTCTGACACCCCCTCTGACCACACCTCTGACCCACCCTCTGACACACCCTCTGGACCACCCCTCTACCACCCTCTTGCCCACCTTCTGACCACACCCTCTGACCACAACCCTCTGACCACCCACCCTCTGACCCACACCCTCTGACCACCCCCTCTGACCACACCTCTGACCACCCTCTGACCACACCCTCGGACCACACCCTCTGACCACCCTCTGACCACACCCTCTGACCCACACCCTCTGACCACCCTCTGACCACACCCTCTTACCACCCTCTGACCGCACCCTCTGACCACACCCTCTGACCACACCCTCTGACCACACCCTCTGACCACCCTCTGACCACACCCTCTGACCACACCCTCTGACCGCCCTCCGGCCATGGCGCCCTAGGGCCCGGGAGCGGCCAGCCTGCCTCTGGGCCCTGTGGTCAGGGGGGTTTGCTCCGGGGCTGGCAGAGGCCACGGCAGCGGACAGTGTGGGCGCTGCCCCTGCCCACGGCGGCCAGCGGCGTTCTGACCGGGACAGGCGGGCCCAGCTGTGCCCGAGGGAGGTGGACGGGGCTCCGGGCAGCGCCGACGTGGCCGGGCCCCAGAGCCGCCTCTGGCGGGCAGACACGGTGCCAGGCCCCGCGCCCACGCTGCCTGCGGTGCACTCCACGCGGAAGGCGGGCGCTTGCCTCTCTGCCCGCCACCGCCGTGGGAGGGGCAGGCCGGGGAAGGACAGACAGCTCCGCCGGTCAGGGGCCGCTCCGTCCAGACTCGCTCAGGCCCTAAGGC